GTTCTTGTGTCATTGTCTGTGGTCCCTTGTAGACCAGGGAATGCTCCAAGCTCTCTTACCCTGATCTGTGCTGTAAGTCAATGCATAGATTTCTCCCCTGAAGAATAATGTTTTCCCACTGAAACCTGTGTTTTGCAGCTGGTCTAGATGCCTCCTACTAGGGGAGCTATGTGATATCAAAGGGTGCAATACTTTCGTATCCTAGCTTAACAAAGCCAGAAGTTGGTGGGAAACCTCTTTTCTGCTCTAAATATAACTTGTACTGCTTTGTCACAGCAGAAGGCTGCTTCCCAGTAGCTGTTTTTGAAGCACAATTACTAATTGTTATTGAATTAATCAGTGCAGTTCACACAGCATTCCTGATGGCATCCAGAGGTGTTGCTGCACCGAGACCGAGCTGGTTCCTCCCGCCTCCCTTTCACATACCCTGTAAGGACACGGCCAATAATCATGGAAATAAATGTGGAACATTTTTCTCTCCTGCCGCTTTTCCTCCATGGAGTGACTGGAAAAGGCCGCAGAGAAACCTCTTTGTTCATCCTTGGAAAAGACCATCCTTGCATTTCTTCTCTGAGCCAAAAAAAAAAAAAAAAAAAAAAAAAAAAGAACCCCTCTTGTTTTTGTTTGACCCACCCTGCTAATCAGTGTTTTTGAGTTTTTTATGGTTGTTCTTTATGATCCACTTAACTTGTTTATTTGTGCCGTATCTTGCAGGCAGCTGTTGCAGAATGCGCGGGAACAGTCAGTTTTCCATGTCCACTGGAGGGACAGAGCTTAAATGCAGAAAAGAAAAAGCATTTAAAAAAAAAAAAAAGCAACCTAAGATTAAATTTTACGCGTGCATATAGGGTTACATGGGCAGAGTTTGCTTGGAGACAATGAGGGGGATCTGGAAAGAGGTCCAGGATCAAGATTACACTGAGAGCTTCCCAGCAGAGCAGGGCATGGGGTGATGCAGGAGGGTGGCTTGTTTGCCCCCTCCCAAAATCTTTCCCAATTCTGTTTTCCCATGACCACGGTGTAAACTTTGGAAGAGCTGGGTTTTCCCTCTGAGAGCAAGCTAAGCTCCGTGTTGCTGTGTCTTCTCTCTTGTCCTTAGTGACTAGGTAGATAAGATTATCACTGATGCGCTGGAACATGCGGTGCCCACCTCTCCATCATAGCAGGTAGCCCTGCAGATTAGAGGCTTTTTTAGGCCTGGAGCTGTCTCTTTGTTCTGTGTCTATGCAATACGTTGTGCAATGAGATTCCGGCCTCTAGGTGCTCACACTGAAATGCAAATATATTGATTACAAGGGAGGAAAAGCAGGCATGTTCACAATACCGTGCCTTGATGAGCTGGGGGGGAAGATGCATACTGGATGGAAAAGGATCAGATCTCTTTACAAAGCAGAAATCTGCTTGGATAGTTTGAAACTATGAGATCAAGCTGATTCGTGGCAAATCTTCAGACTCATCCAGGGGAGCTGCCTCTTGGTTTTTATCTGCATGTTTGTTTAAATGGCTCGAGCGTCAGGCACCTTGAACCTGACTTCTCTCTAAATTTCCTGGCATAATACTGGGAAAAAATATATATATAGAAAACTCCTCCGTTGCCCGGAAATTTGAGCAGATGTAACAGCAGCAAGGAATATTTCATAAAAACCTTTATTAAGTTTAGAGGATGAATCACGAGGATTTGTGGCCTACCTGTGCTACAGAGCATCGTAGCAACTGTCACTAGGAGAAGGGATGGAGGCACAGCCCTACCTCACCATGATGAAAAGTTATCAGCGCCACACAGCCCAGCGAGCAAATATCCCAGGAAAAACTAGGGTGAAGCGTCTGTGATCCAAGGACCTCTGCTGCAGGCTGCTCTCCAGGGATTTTGAGCACTTTTTCTCTAAAGGTTATAGGCATTTGCAAGCTCCGTTTGGCTGCAGCGTGAGCAGAGGCTGCTCAGCGTGACTGAAAAACCAGGGCAGCGATGGGTTTAACTGCAGATTTGGGTGTGTGGCTTTATTCATCTGCACGTGTTGACTCCCTCTTGTTGCACATGCAGGTAGATGTGTTGTCTTTGTGCAATCCTGCCAACATCATCCCGATCCAGTGTTGTTTTTTCCTAATTACTGCACAGTCTACTCAGGCTTTTCTCCATATTTTTTGGCAGAGGGAGAATATCAAGGAGAGAGCCTTAAAGGGGAATTAAAATGTGATAAGAGAAGAAATGTTTGCAAGTATCCACATGAGATGCCAATGCGGGATACATGGGCAGACTTAGACATGATGAATGCATACAGTTTTTTTCAGGGAAAATGAAATGCTTTCTACCTGCCAAGAGTTGAGCTTGAACCCCCGGGGTCTGTGTCACTCCTGCTGTAGTTGATAATGTCACTAACACCAAAGCAGTGCAGCTTTAACCCTCCTTTTTATGTATTAGTGATATCAACAGCCATGAAAACATTCCGAGCTCAGAAGGCTCGAACAGTGTTTCTAGGGGGCAAAAAGCTTTTGAATTCACCTTTAAAGTCTATTTGCTTTTGTTGGTACAGGCTGCCCGTGCATTCGGTGAATGGTTGGGGGTTTCAAAAAGGTAGTCTGTAGGGATGTATTTCTGTCTTTTGAAGTATTTCATTTCACCCTTAATGTAATGTGCTGTCTGCACGGAGCAGCATCAAGCGCAAGCAGCACTTCTCTGCTGTCCCTTGCTGTCAACACGAAATCCCAGCTTATCAGGGGAGGGACACACCAGCCTTTGAAAGCTGAGCAGAGGGACAGGCTCGCAGGGCACGAAACCAAACAGAATTTGCATGTCGCCAAAGCTCTGGGGTAGCAAAGAGAAATGCCTTTTTTTTTTTCCTTCACACTGTCTTTTTTTGTTTGTTTTCTTCCTCCTGTCAAATTTGCCACCATGGTGACAGCAAAAGTGCAGCTCCAGCTGCAAAGGTGTCAGCAGAGAGTGGTGGCCGGCAGTTTATAACCTTCATGGGCTGCAGAAGGGGATGTGGAAAGGGTGGCAAGTGCAGCTGCAGCAGCTCTTGCTGATGGTCGCAGCTCTGGAGCATTTTTCTAGCCTGACACGTGGAGTCTGAGGCAAAACGCTGTTGTAGATGGTGCTTCAGACCTGGGTATTGAGAGCTCTCCAAAGCCGGCAGCTCGGGGCAGAGCGTGATGTGGCTACCTGGGAGGAAAACGCATTGCTCAAGTGATCCGCTTGGCTCCGTGATCGGACATGCTGCCGTGTCCCCGAGCACGTCGCTGCCTGCGAGCTGCGTTTGCAGGTTGGTGTGAGCAGCCCGGCTTCACGCTCCAACGCGCGCTGGGAAAGGCTGCAAAGCAGGAGGTTTCCAGCCCTCCGCAGAGCAGCCCTGCACTGTCCCCGTGGCAGCTCCTCATGGTCCCGCACGGGGCTCGGGGACACACGGAGGAGCAGCTCGGCCGCGCTCTGCTGCGGTCACTGTCACCTCATCCATCCATCCCACCAGCTCAGCCCAGGAGCAGCCTCAAAACACCTTAAACAAACAGTTTTAGCCGGGCGCTAGGATAATGGCTATTTTCAATTTTGCCTTTCACATATTAATTGTAGAACAATAATTTTGCAATAGAGTTGCCGATGGCAAACATGCAGAAGACATTAACTTTATTTATGTTTTGGATTATTAATGTGGCTGTTAAAATTCCTCCAGTTAGTTTTGATTGAATTGTTTTTTTGTGCGATTCTGTCGTTTAATGGAGCGGTAAATAAGAATTTCTGATAATGAGCCCAAGCATCTGTCACAACAACCTGGCGCTGGTTATTAACATTTCCATTAACGGCAGGGTGGGCAGTGATAATATGGAAACCACACAGTTAGAACAAAATAAATAGTTGGTGTCAGGCTGAGTGGGTGTTAATTACTATTTTATTTTATAACTCTGGGGGGAAGGAGTATTGGTGGAAAAGTGTGACTTGTGAAGGTCATTCTCGCTAAAGAAAGAAGTCTCCAGAGGGACAGATAGCCAGGGCTATCTTATTTGAGGAGTGGATGTTTTATCACTTCTACTTATGACCCATAAGTGGGCACAGAGGAAAGCAGCAGCTTTCTGAGGCATTTGGGGAAAATGCTGCAGCAGCAGGAACTGTGGGCAAGGAGAAACGTGCCTTTGCTTTGCCTTTTCTTCTCTGCTTCTGGACTTGGAGCAGGACTTTGTGTTTCAGCAGCCTTTCTGCAGGCGGCACGTGCTCTTCTGTGGAGATCTGCCCGAGGCAGACAGCAGGGCTGGAAAGCAGGCGCCCTTGCTCGTCACTGGGGAGGCAAATGCACCTGCACCAAGTTGGATCGGGGCGAAAGAGAAAGATGGAGTGACTCAGGTGCACTCGAAGGAAGGGAAAGATGAGTTTTCTGTCAGAGCAATGCGAAGGAGGAGAAATGCCATCGTGAGCCAAGCAGGTCCAGCATGTATACCTGAAAGTATAGTGAAGTGAGAGCTAACAACTGTCAAACTAAAAGCCCTTTTGTTTCATGCGAAATATTGGCTAAACTTGTTTGCATCTGACCTGTTCTGGAGGTGATTTTAAGGGTTTTTTTGGCCCTAATTGTTGGAGTGGTGCACAGAAACTGAGCAGAAAGGCCAGGTAGACGGTGGCGAGGGGCACCAGGGTTGCCCAGAGGCACACGGGTATTTCCAGAGCTGAGCATTCAAGAACACAACATCAGCACTGAAGGCAAGCCTGGAACGTGACCACAGAAGAGCCATTTTCCTCTCTCTCTCTTTTGTCTTTCTCTTGCCCCCAACCAAAGCTGCTGGGCTTATTGAGTGTCTAAGGGTGAGACAGAGCCCAGCTCATCCTCCATCCCTCTGTGCTGAGCCTCCCCAGTGATACAGGCAACCTCAGGGCTAATTCTCTTAGCTAATTTGTGGCATAAAGAGAGTCTGGCCTGGGTCATTTCACAAACAGAAAGTTGTAACCTGGATATGAACTATTTCTGCTTTTTCATATTAATTATTTTGTCCTTTTTTTTTTTAATTTTTCTCTTTAGCACCGGCAATGGCTCCACAGAACGTCCAAGTCAACTCCCTTTCTGCAAGTCAGCTGGAGCTCACCTGGGACCCCCCTCCTGTCGACAGCCAAAATGGGAACATACAGGGCTACAAGGCAATACCTCTATTTCTACTAGTTTCATTTGTCTTTCTTGGCTTTTTGCTATTACTTATGCTGTAGCTCCAACTACAACTACCCTCGATGCCTACCGCAAATTAAAGCAGTAAGGAAGTGGTACTTGTCCTCAGACCAAAAGAAATAGCATGAATGGTATAGAGAAAAATAATAAGAGAAAAAAAAAATGGTTTACTGTTTGCAGAGAAGGAGTGGATGGGGAAACAGGGCATACAGAGAGAGTGGTTGGAGCCCTGTTCATGCAGGTAATGTCTGCTCCAAAGAGCAGGTGTCACCGAGGAGCTGGGGCAAGGATTTTATTGAAAATTACAAGAAAATTAGCTGAGCTTTCTAACTATTGAATATTACAAGCCAGCAGGAAAAGCAGAACCTTCTTCAGACTAGAAAGAAGAATTGTTTGCTTCCCTTAACTTTAACAAAATTAAATCATGGTATTAATTGCGGTTGGTTTGTAGAAGATGAGCATGTTGCAGAGGCATGTTATTTAGTCTCTCCAGAATGAGAATGGACCCTCAGAGAATGGAAATGGGCAAGTCTACAAACACTGGAACTTGGCTTGGGTTCAGTGCCTGGCTCTGCCTCTCTCCATGAATTTAGGTCCATAAGTGAAGAAAAGCCAAGCCAGTGTGAACAATCTGGCATCCTTTCTTGGCAGTGACAAGCAACCTTATATATCAATTCATGTCCTTTTCCTTTCATATGGATATAGATGGCTCTAACAGCTTGGCTTGCAGAGCCAAGGTAGACTCTTGCCTTGGCTCATTCCCTCAACTTTCTGGCTTGCTTTGGCCTGCTGTGATGCTCTCGGTGCCAGGCTGCCCAATAAGTAGGGCTGGCACCACGTTTTCTTTTGGAATCATCTTCTCTGAAGCCTAATTTTATGGCATCAGGGTTAAAATTATGTAAGGCACTCAGAAAAAAAAGTACTTCAAGGAACTTCAGGAAAAATCTTTATCCTCTTTTTCAGGAGGCAGTAAGAGGCCTGGCTTGACTGTCCTGTGAAACTGTTTTGTCCATGCAGAAGTGAATTATGGATATAGCATGTCAGGGTGACAGTGCTGACAGATAGCTAGCATTTTAGGGAGAATTTAAAAACTGACCTCTCATTACTGAACTCTGGAAGTTCATATCTGCTCTGATTAGGCCATATCCTTCAATCTGTGCTCTGTTTTTGAATGATGTGCTCAGCCAGCCTGTCACTGTTCTCAGGGGAATTGGCCAAAGGAAGAATAAAATCTGGGCAAATGGTGAAAAGTATTAATGTTCCCCTTAGCAGAGGAATCCAAAGCAAGATAACCCCACCTTCCTGATTGTCTTCTGTAGCCTTCACTACTCAAGTTGAAGGCAGTACAGGATATACTTAAGCATCTCTGTTCTTACAGATTTATTACTGGGAGAGCGACATCCAAAACGACACGGAGAAAGTGAAGGTCCTTTTCCTGCCAGAGACAACAGTCCGGCTCAAAAACCTGACCAGCCACACGCGCTACCTGGTCTGCATCTCTGCTTTCAACGCAGCCGGGGACGGCCCCAGGAGCAGCCCCTCGCAGGGCAGGACGTTTCAGGCTGGTAGGAGATCATCTTCTCCTTCTCCTTCCAGCTTTGGAAGCTCCAGCTTTGGGCAGTGACTAAGGAAAACGGGACAGGAGGAAACACGGGGTTTTGAAGATAGTTTTCAGATAGGACATTACGCTCCAGTGATCTTGGTGAGAAAAAGTTCATCAAATAAGATAAATGTTTGAGAAAGGATTTGAGGATGAAAATGAGCAGTGCTATAAAAACTAGACCAGACTGGGCAAATGAAGGATCTTTTCACGAGCTGATCTAGGATGAAAATGTAGGTCTAGTCTGGTCTCTCCCGTCACATCTGAAAATCAGCAGGAACTCATCTCCAGTGCCTGGAAATATTCCAGACAGTCATATGAGAAGCATCATACTTTTGATAGCTCCTCAGCTTTTTAAGCCGTGGCAGCCACACAGTCAGAATGAGCTGTGTCTGTGTTGGATGCTGATCCCGGGGGGAGCACCCCAATGTGAAGGGCTGTCGTTGCTGGATTTGAAGAGAAAATTTCTGGTTTTCTCTGGTTTCTCTTAGACTACAGGCTTGCTTAGTGCCCTTCTGGTTTTGAGCCCTGCATTTTAGCTGGTTTTCTAAGGAAATTAATCTTGAGAAATGTCAGCATCTGCAGCCTATTTCCCCTAAAGATGACCGTGGGTTTCCAGCATATCAAACTCCTACTAGGGTTTTTGAAATTCAGCAGCTAGGTAGAGAACAAAGGCCCAAATCAATGTCTCTGGGAGGGTTTTTTTATTGTAGGTCATATCTCCTCGCTCGCTTTTGGGATTAGTTTTGCAGTTGAGCAACTGCTTTTCTTTGACTGTTTTTCTGATTGATTACAAGAAGTTTTGATACAACTGATAAATCCCTTTCTCGGCTTGTTTCCTTTAGATTTATGCTGGGCAAAACACAATGCTTTATAATTTATATGTATATCAGATTGACTGTTTCCGCTGCCGTTCAAAATATTTGTGATCCTTTCAGCACCCAGCGCTCCCAGCTTCTTGGCCTTCTCGGAAATCACTTGCACAACCCTCAACGTGTCTTGGGGCGAGCCGGCAGCAGCAAATGGAGTCCTGCAGGGCTATCGAGTAGTCTACGAGCCTTTGGCACCAGTCCAGGGTAAGAAAGGCTTAAGATCCTGCATATTCATGGGGAAATGATAGAAAAGCACTGTTATATCTTTTACCTCTACCCAGTTTCTTACTTTTTGCCGTTTTCCAAGCGGATCCAGGTGGCAGAGGGTAAGGAAAACAATTTCAGTTTTTGCCAAGGCTGCTAAGTAAACTAGGATATCATGGAATATAGCTTTTGTCTGTCCTCTCTCATTTTCTTGCAAAAACTGTATTCCTGGATGGTTTGAGAAAGTCATTATGCTGCCACTGTTACTGCTATCAGGGAAGAGCAAGCTCAGCCTGCGAGTGCTTGATTGTCTCCCTGCGTTGGGCTTGGAAATTGCTGAGTGGGCTCTGTCCCGGAATAGTCATCAGACTTGTTTGTGTTGCTTATCACATCATGTGTCGCTTCTGTTATCGCACAGATTGCCCAGGTATCATATGTGCTAGTCATCAGTGCTACTTTTGACAGGGAAGAACAACATTGCTAGAGATTTAGTTGTGTCTGTTTATACTGCGTTTTCAAGCAGTGTTTTTTACCCAGCTCAAGATTTAAACTCTCTCCATAACAATAGGATGGCCACGAATCCTTTATTAATTTGCCAGAACAGCAACACAAAGGGAATTGGCAATTTCTCTGGAAACAAATGTAAATTCATTACAAAGGTGAATTAGAAAAGATTACAAAGTTTTGGGATGGTCTTACTAATGTTTTTATATTTCTGGTAGATAGCCAGTAGTTCAATAGGATGCCCAACTTTGGCAGGGTGACAGCAAAGAGAGTAATTTCAGCCATTGCCAATCCATTTTAAACTCTTTTCCAAAGAAATAAGGATATCTATCTCTAGTATTTGTTTCTTCTGTAAGGAATAAGGGTATTCTATATAGTCTGAATATCCATGTCGTGTGCACTCAGAAAATTATACTCAGGGATAAAAATAGGAGAAAAAAAAGCACTTTCAACCTTGACTGCTGGCAGATCTGAGCAAAAGGAGCTAATGCAGGAAGCATCTGTAATTCTGACTGGGAAACGTGGAGAGGTTATGTAGGATGTTCAGCCTCTTTGAACATTCCCTGCCTTATATTCTTACAAAATGTTAAAGAATCCATCTTGTCCCTAGAAATATGGAAGTGTTAAATCATACTTCCTTTGTGAGAATTTGACATCATCCTCATCAGTCATTCTTTTATCCTCTTCCTGACCTGTGGTCTATCTTGTTTCTCTTTGTTTCTGCTTCCCCTATAGAAGATTTCTAACCTGAGGAGGTAGCTTAAAGAAGGTTTCTTCCTTAGATTCTAAAAATTTGCCCGAATTTATTCTCTTGTTTCTACCTACTTACTCCTGTGCCAACATTTTTCTCTCTTCAAAAAATATTTATTCTCTCAGTAGTAAGCAATCCCTTCCTAAGAATCATCATTTTTCTTGGATAGAAAAGCCACACTCATTGATTTAGAGGGTAGAGTAAAACCAAACTCATTTGAAGATGGATCCTTCATCTTTGATAGATCCAAGCAGGCAGCGAGACAGGCCAAGCTTGGCTGGCACCTGCGCCCGAGATCCGTCCTTCCATCCCTGGGTCTGAAGTTCCTGCAGTTCGGAGCTACCCACACTCATGGACCGGATTCCCTGGAACCTTTTTCCTGCATCTTTTGGTTTTCTAGACATTTGTGATTTGGGGAAGTGCCTCCTCGCTGTTGTGACAACTCCTGCCTGACACTCATAAGCCACCTTTTAAAACCTGCTTTGTTTTTTTTGCAAAACTTTCTAACAGTGATTTGTTTCTATCAGAATCTTTTCCCTGTTTGACCTTTTATTGTTCAAGCTTTACAGTGTTATGTTTTAGACCATTATAGACAACAAAATTGCCCTGGAGCCTTTTTTAACAGTTCCTTTTTTTTTTTTTTTTTTTGAACATTACTTTGAAATGACAAATGCTTCCTGATTTGTCTCTGAGAAATGATATAGTATACCTAGGGAAGGAGAGAGCACTTCTACTGCTTCCTCATTAACTGGGGGAAAGATTCTCTGAATTATGAATTGTAACCAGAAGAAAACTTTGAGCAGAACTCCTTTGGATGTTATTCTTTATTTAACTGATTAAAAACTGAAAGCAGCAGCTTGATTTGCATAAAATAAGCATCCAAATTGGAAAACTTCTTTCCTCTGCATTTTCTGGAGACAAACAAGCAAACATCCTTCTCTAGTGGGAAAATCATTTTCCCACTTTTAATCCTCATAGTTTGAAGTGTTTTGTACATCTACAGAACCAGAAAAAAAAAACTAAAAGGACTCTTTGAATTCAAGCTTTTAGTCTGTAAAATAATTTGTGTCTCAATTTCTTATCATTCTGTTACCTTTAGAACATTTCAGTGAAAATTATTTCTTTTTTTTCAAAGTCGTCATTGGCCACCAAAGGGCCAAACCTGCCCTTTGTGCAAGATCAGCACATAAGGAGTGAGAACCTTCATGGCTATAAACATGGGGTGGAGGAAATGGCAGTGATTTTAATTCTTCTGTGTAATAAAAAAATCTTATCTAGTGAAGGAAGTTCAATCCTCAGTCTGAACCCCAGGAACCATGAGTAAAATAGCAAGCATATGTATGTGTTTAAGATGAGGTGAGTTGAGTGGTCACTGAAGTGTTTTTAGATCACTTTTGCACTATCTTTGTTACACTCTGAGGTCTAGAGAGGAGGTTCTGCATCCCTTAAGGGGGCACATTACTGTGAGGTAGCTCTGTCTGAGTTGTCTTGGGGTGATAGGACTCATAAGGGCTCCTTGGAGAGACAGGCTTAGGGCTCCCATCACTGCACCAACGTCTGCACTGTGGACATTTAGCACATCCTGAAGCTCCTCAAAACTGAAAAGCATGAAACCCAAATGTTGAGGTTGGCTTTGCCCAAGACAATAGTCTGCATCCCCCCACTGCAGTGCTATTTACACCCATTTGTTCTACATGGGATACATGGCCTTCATTCTGCATTCACTTGGCAGTGGTGGAAATGACAGCACAGGATAAAAGAAAAGAAGCTGGCCTTTATTTTTTCCCCAAGCAGCATTGCAGGTTGCTTGGCAAAGCAGCAGCAGAGAAGTGCTTGCTTAGGAAGCAATCTGCAGCATGCAGTCTTCTTTGTTTACCTCCTGCTTTCTTCCCAGAGTAATTAGTGAAGTTGCGCGTAGTCTCTTGGTAATTTCCCAGTTGTGTTGTAAGGTTTTCTTCTTGTCACTACCCACTTATCAAGCTTAAACTCTAATTATACTTATCAGTGCTGAAAATTGGCTATTATCACTACTTAAACTCCTGCTAATTGTAAGAAATACTTTCTTAGCAAACTGTTAGATAATTTTTACTTACTCTCTAGATGTGATAAGCTCCACTTGATTTCTTTTTTGCATTGCAACCTTTTCTTATTTTCCATCTGTATGGCTATTCCAGGGGTGAGCAAGGTGGTGACCGTGGACATAAAAGGAAATTGGCAGCGCTGGTTGAAGGTCCGAGATCTCACCAAGGGCATGACCTATTTATTCCGTGTGCAAGCCAGAACCATCGCCTATGGACCTGAACTGCAAGCCAATGTCACAGCTGGGCCAGCAGAAGGTAAGTGGAGCCATAAAAGCACATCGCAAGCTAGGTATAGTTGTACAAACACAGCCCCACAGCAGGAAATAGTGCTCAACTCTGTGCTTAACATGTAGTTCTGAGCCAAGGAGAAGTTTTGCCTTGGGAGCTCAGGGCATGATTCAGTGGGTTTCACAACTGCCCATAGAGGAGATTTAAAAAAAAAAAAAAAAAGCATCTTTTTTTTCCAGTTCTTGGAGACTAAAAGCTGATGTGAATAAATAATGCAGTGCTATAAATTATAACACAAACTGGCACACCAGGGAAGTCAGTACAGGCTGGCAGCGTGGTCCATGGTTCTGATCACACTGGTGTGCTTCGAAGTGGAACTGGAAAAACTCTGTCTAGGCCATTAGAGATTCTTGGATTTAAAATGAGTAGGAATTTAGCATTGCACCCTTCTGACACTCTGGTTCCTGCACAGAGATATGTCTGCAAAATTCATCATATGTTGAGAGGAACAAGCTGAACTTCCGAGTTCTCCCCTTGGTTCACTGTGTATTGCAAAGCAGTAGGGTTTTTTATTATTATTAGAGATTCCAATAAATAGATAATCTAAAAGGGTAAAGGAATTCCAGTGATATTAGACTGCCCACTAGACCATAGTGAATTATTCATAAATCATTCAGCTCAAGGAGATGGTTGCTCCCTCCATCAAAGGCAGCAGGCCATGTCTGGTCATTCCATCCTTCTAGATACCAACAGGCTTTGGTTTTATCCCAATGTCCTCTTTAGCCAGTAACTGGAATAGTAGTGGAGTGAATCAAGTCCAGTCATGGACAGTGGAAACCATGAATCCTCTATAATGTGACAGTTGCATGTTGCCAAGAGACCGTACAGGCAGCTACAGCAAAGAACGTCTCCCTGAAACTCAGATGCTGGTCCACCTCTGAAGGCAGAAACAGCAGTAGCAATGTGCAGATGCTGCAGATAGAAAACTATTAAAATGTCAGTGTAAACCCAGCATTTTCTGTTTAATTGATGATGTAAAAGAAGAAGACCTTAGAAGACCCAAAGACCTTAGGCCAGCAGCCCACTGGCCTGTTTAGTAATACATGTGTGTTGACCCATACTTCAGGCTGTTGTTTTCTTCTGTCAGTAGACCTAAGAAAGAAAACTGCAATAAGTCTCTGATATCGCTATTATTCTCATTTCACGCTTTAGGATCTCCTGGCTCGCCTCAGGAAATTCTGGTGACCAAATCTGCTTCTGGGCTGACACTGCAGTGGACCGAGGGAGATTCAGGAGAAAAACCTACAACCGGCTACATTATAGAGGCCCGGCCCTCAGGTAAGTCATGGGAAACATGGAGCACGTGGTGCCAGGCCTTCTGTTCCTTCAGTCTGAACGGAAACCTGTCCTGCGATGGAAGAAACTGTTGGTCAGCCCACTACAGTAATAAGATTTTGTGAGGGAAAACTGTCACCATCCGGTATTCAACCTTCCCTGGTTTATTTTATCTGGTTATCTGCTGTGTAGAAACAGTCACAGAAATTACACTGAGCACTCTGGGTTTCGCTGTGCTACCTCACTGGTAAATCATCCAACTGCTAAGCTAATAGAAGTTAAATATATAAAATTATAAAATAATTAAAAATCACTTAAATACTTGCAGTATCTTTGAGGCACAAGGTCCCATAAATACTTGCAAAGTGTATTTTGAGGACTACACACTGAAATCTATCCCCCTGCACAGCAGGACACGGCAACTAATTGATGTTATTAGCAAGACCGGGACTTTGAGCAGTGCCAGAGCGTAGCTTTCCCCACGTGTTCAGCAGGGTGAAGGTGAGGTGGGTGAAAGGAGTCCCCTCATCACCAGTGAGTTTTCCTTGCTGCTTTCCCCAAATTCCTTTGCTTTTGGGGATTTTGCATTCCTCCTTACTCAATGGCTGTGCACTTTTCCCAGAATATTTTCCCCGTTTGGCTAGATCATAGAACAGCTATGTCCCATGCTGTTTTGCAGCCTCTTCCAGCTTGGTCTCACTCTGCAAATTTAATAAGGGCACACCTTCTGGTGTGCAAGTCATTAACAAAAATGGTGAATGCTGCCAGACCCATGTGGGAGCTCATTTGATAGATTCCCTCCACCTGACAGGGAACACTGATAACAATTCTCCAAATACAGTTTTCCAGCCAGCGCTGCTTCTACAAGATACGTGTTTCGTGTAGGCCATGTTTGAATGTCATGGTGTCAAAAGCTTTGCTGAAGTCAGGATAGATGATGTCTGCTCTTTCTCCTCTATCAGCAAGGTCTGTTACCTTGTCAGAGAAAGAGATTAGACATGATTTATATTTGACAAATCCATGTTGCCTGGTTGTTCTTTTCCTTTGTACTGCTAGCTGGTTACACATTGCATGACTGTGTATTAATTAAATGAATGTTTACCTTTTCATTATATAATGGATTGTACCCTTTTCCTACATGTCTCTAATATAGGGTTGCAGTTATAGCCAATGATTTTAATTAATTTTAACCAGACCAGTAACAAAACTGTAGTCTACAGTTCTGTGATCATCGCTAAAGATGTGCATTTCCACTCATATCTTTGGTAGAATTTGCCATGTAGTGAGTCTCTGCTGTGATTCTCTCTGTCTGATTTCTGTCATTTAATGTGACAGTTGTTTTCAAAGCAGAATGAAGGAAAATGTTTATATTCTCCAAGCAGTGGAGTTTCCCAGAGTGAGCAAGTTTTCTTAATTGACACCCAGTGCTCCCGTTTCCCTTACATCAGCTTGCTGATTCCTGCCCTCATTTGTTCACAGGCACAAAAAAAAATCCCATTTTATTGCAGCAGTGTTATTCAGATAGCAACTTAAACCTGACTTTTGCCAGCCAGCTTACATTTGCCCCCAAACCCATGTTTTTTTGAGGAAGAGCCTTTCAGAGGGAAATCCACACCCTGTATATAGATTGTCTGCAAACTAAAAAAATTCTAAGTGCTCTAAAGAAAAAAAAAATCAAAAAAAAAAAAATCAATTTGCCATCCAAGAGCTCTGTTAACTTAAACATTTCTGTACGATACCTCACTGAACCTACTGTCATTCACATCTTGCTTTAGATCAGGGGAACAAAAAAACCTCCATTCCCCTATCTCTGTGAAACAAACCATAAAACTCCTACAGAAACGTTCTCATGCAAAAGACAACCCTGTCATGTGAGCTGTGGTATCACAAATTTGTCAGGTGTTTTGGGGCTTGTCTTTCTTTTGGATGTGAATGAACGTTTTACAGTTCATGCCTAAGGATGTGCTGAAGGATTTGTGGCCCAATCTTTTTGAGCAGGAAGAAAACAGTCCTTCCAAGGCCGGTCTAAGCTGTATTAACCTTGGGTCATTCCTACTGGCCCCACTCCACTGATCCTGGAAACCCACACAGAAGAGGTCTTATTCTCCTGCTCTTGCAACCTGACTGTTGAGGCATTTAATTCCTCTTCAGATTATTTTAATCCTATTCATGCTGCTGTAGTAAATGAACTAGCCATTTGTATGCTGGATTCTCCTCCTTAGTTGTGGTTGCAGCTGTAGAGAGCGTGAAATGTGATCCAACAGAGGAGACAGACTAATTGGAACGTTTGCTTATCTCACGCAAGCTTCAGCTTCATTTCAGGACTGCTTTTCTTCCTCGTCTCTGCACAGTGGAGTTTGAAATCTGGATTTTGAGCTTAACAAAAGCAGGGAGCTAATTCCTCCTGCCAGGGTTGGTCATTCAGAGCAGCTTCTGTTTTAATATAATTCTAAGAATTTGCCACAGTGCAATGATTTATACAGGTAGTAGAGCAAGGATTGGAGCAACCTTTATTTTTAAGTAGTAGTTGTCCAAGGGAAGAGCAGTTGACTTGTGCCCTTCACATAAAATCAAAGAAGAAGATAACTCATCCTTCTGAGATCAAAAAAAAAAAAAAGAGGCATTGAATAGACAGATGAAAAGCTTCAGCTTGTTGCCAATATTTAAATGCAATACCACTACCTTAGTATTTCACATCTCTAGTGTCATCTATTATAGGCCTCATTACCCCAAACGTTAAATGCTGTATCATCTCATTTTCCCTGCTGTAGCTTCCTGCCAAGATTCCTCCATCAGAGCAGGAGGGTGGCTTTTTGTCAGAAATGACAAACCTTCCCCCTCTTTTGTCGCTTCCCTTTGAAATTTTTATTGCTTTGCTGTGTCTCCTCTGCCCTGCTGGGCCGAGCGGCGGTGGCTGCAGGCAGGTGAGGTGGCTCCTCTGATCAACCTTATTTCTCTCCAGGATTTGTGGAAGGTGACCATGGTAGACACAGAAGAGTTCTCTCCTTTCCTTCCTCCATCTCTAGAGAAACCGATTCCAGCTCAGCTCCTTGTGCGTTACAAGACATGCAAGGAGGCATTGCTTTCGCTGCAGTAGCAAGCCCTCCCTTGACATCAGCTGGCCTAGCTGAGGACTGGGTTTTAGGTGGTGTCCTCTATTTCTGCATGCAGAGAAAAAGACAAAAAGGGCATGTCTAAGGGCTCTTAGAGTTTCACCTCAGGAGGAGCCTCCTGCCTATGACAAGATGACAGAGATTCTCCTCCTCTGCATCCTCTGCCCTGTGTTTGGTTGTTGGCTTTTCCCAAGCAAGGCATGTCTAAAGGCCGGTGGTTGAGAATTGCATCTTAACATGTTTCCAATAATAATATTTTTAACACACCGACTGGCACAAACAGGCCATTTGAATCTCAGATCAGCCAGAAATGATGAACGTAGGACACAGACAAGGCAGGCAGATGCTTCCCTTGCTTCCCCCAGGTGATCCGTGCTGTGAGGACAGCAGACGGGATCTTGGGGGAAGATCCCGTCTTGGAGCAGGGATTCTCCTTCTCATGAACGCTGAGGTGGTTTCACTGCACACGCCCCCCCATGGCACATCTCACTTGAGCTCCTCATCTCCTGAGTAACATTTTCCCTTCCCCGTTTTCTCCCTTTCTCCGTTGTTTTTTAAACAATCGCGGAGCGCGGTGTCAGCTGTGGACACGCACCAGCAGCAGTCACTAAATTCGAAGTGAAGGGTGCAGCTGCGGCGGCAGCACCCGCCACGGGGCCCCGCTCCGCTTCCGCCGGCGCGCCGCGTGCCGCGCTGACAGCTTGGCAGCCTTCGCTTCCCATCCTCATCCTCGCGGGCACTGGCACGGGGGGCTCCGAGGAGCCATATCCTTCAGAACGGGGAGTTAATTCTCCTCCTGAACTTCCTAATGTGGATGCAGGAGGGGGTTTTACAGCCTGTTCCTGCAAGAAGGCGGGTTTGGGAAATGTGTAGCCGATGGCGCCCCGTCCCGCCGGCAGGCGTTCGTTAGCAGCCGGCCTTGCCGGCGCCACGGGCCTTCGTTAGCGACTGGCAGCTGCGCTCGCTGTCTTGGCCGGGACTAATTGCCTGAGAAACGAGGCTGGCGGCCGGGGGAGGCCCGCGGCGCCGTGGCGGGGCCGAGGCCTTTCCCGTCCTTCGCCCTCCATGTGGGAGAGGCTGTCAAGGCTGGAGATGGCCTCGGCCGGCGGGAAGGAGCTTCCAGCCTCAGCGTGCCCATCTTTCCCCAAACCGAGGGGAGGGAAACGCTGCCTCCGGTATCTGAAGGATTTCCCAGTGTGCTGAAAGGCCGGAGAACTCCCCGTTCCCTTCCAGCCAGGCTCCAAAGCTTCCCGCTAACCTGGGACTGAGGGGATGCAGGAAGGGAGGCCGAGTGCCTGCTCCACTATTGAATTGCCAAGTTCTCTGCTGAAATAAAGCCCTTCTAGTTTGGATATATCTAATTACAAAGCATATCTTGGAAAAAGGGGGGAAATTCACCCTTTTTGGGTCAGCGAGCCGTTCTGCACTGTGCGCCCTGCCTGCTTGGGGAAGATGGAGTGGGAAAGAGCATGTTCGTTGGGCGGAGATGTGTGTTTGTGGCAACGAGGGTTGAGCATTTGTTTTTATCGTTGCCTTTCCTTTCGCATTTAAGTGGCTTTTCAATGTAAACAAATTGGTTTTCAGACAATTCACAACGGGCTGAAATTCTGTTATAGCTGTTTACAAATGTGTTTATGAAAGCTCACGCAGTTCTAGCAATTATGACAATATTTTATGGTCGGAGATGCATCTTTTTAGTATTGCAGGTTTCAACAGTGTAAATTTGAAAACACGTCCCTCACTCTACCCTTCCCAGAGAAGCTAAATCCCAAGCTGCTTTTTTATTACGTTGTAACTGTACATGGTAGAAATAATCTAGCCTTATATTGCCCTGTGAAAGGGAAGTCAATATTTTATCTTCTGTTTTATAGCCATTGTAATATCCAACTAATGCATAACAATGGTATATTATGATAACTTCATTATACGCTGATCATGCCGGTGAATAACATATAGGTCTGAATTTTAAGCATGACAGAAGAATTACCTATTTTCATTGTTCTTCAGCATTTCTCAAATGTCGCTAGAACAATAACATTTCAGTCTGCTGTTTGCATCCACCGAGACTGCCAATCCTCATGATCAGAAAAAGATGCGGTTTGGGGGTTGTTAGTCATTGTGTGTGCTGCTAGCCATGCAGCACGTTCTGAATTACTGAGCCAATATTTACGGATGCCAAAGTTAAAACATTCACATGGAAATGCACCTGCAGTGTTAATCAATCCATCTTTGCTGTTATTCCCCGTTGCACAGACGTAGGCACAGGGCCAAATTTTGCTGTTACACCAGGACAGTTCTGGAATCGCTGCGGTGACTTCAATTAGTTTACACTTGGGTAAATGCAAAGAGAAATCAGACCAGATTCTGGCTGTATATTGCAGCGGTGGAGCAAGTCTCTCCAGGCAGAGCTGCTGGCTCCTGCTTTATCATTCCCTTGCTAGCACCTCAAGTGTGTGCAATTCCTGATGATGCCAGCGCGTCCCAGGGCAGGGGGCTGCTTTCAAAGCGGGCAGCTCCTTCACGGGAGCTGAAGTTCTCATAGGATTCCCACTGCTGTGGGACCCACAGAGCAGAAGACGTCGCTCAGCCAGTTCTGATAACTAAAAGTAGAAACCCGGTGGGGTTTTTGTGGAGACAGATCCTTGAGAGCTTCAGCTGCTTTAGAGCAGCTGAGAATTTGGTCCCGTGTGTAGACAGTACGTTCATTTTGTCGGTGGAAGTGCTGGGTACGGATTGTTACTGAAAAAAGTCCATTTAGATTAATGTTCAAGTCCTACACTCAAAATTATTGACGGGCGGTTTTAATTATAGTTGGTTTTGTGCTTACTGCTAGCAGCATCCATCTTGTTGAAAGCTCTTTCCATTGTATTGAAGGGAATATATAGAATTATGGGTATGGATCAGGGACCAAAACAGTAGCTAGGCTGGATGTGCATCAATATAAATGTCAGCATGGCTGTTGAGAACCAAGATAACCCTACTGGGCCGTTCTCATCAGTTATTCAGAAAGTGTTGTGTTTCTTACAACTTGCAGAGCTTTCTAATACAAACAAAACCTTATTTCTACTTAAAAACACACTGCAGGTCGTGTCAGCTGCTGTTGGCGTGGAGGAAACGGTGCTCTGGCAACACTCACCTGCCGGGCAACACTTCATGCAAAGCCACGGTACTTCCAGCCTAGACCCAAACCTTAACATCAGTTTGCAAAGCTTAGCTTAGGCTGGATCATGAAGTCCATTTTGCAATGTAAAAAGCAAGTGAAATCTGTGTGATTAGGACTGATTAATGCATCAAATTGCTTTGGGTTTACTTATTCTGTCAAATAACAGGAATGCTGATACGCTGATCACAGAGATTCAGGCACTCCAGGCAGCTCAGGCCACTGTGGGTGCCAGTGCATATCTTGGAGGAAACCTCCTCCATCTGGACTAGTTTAACAGTCCCTATCAGAAATAAATCCCTTTTTAGAAGCGTGGCTTGCAGTGCGTACTGACATATGTCCATATTGTTGAGCAGTCTTCAGGTGAGCTTGTCTACTGCCTGTGGTTGCAACACGCAATTAATGGCAATTAATTTTCAGTGTGCAGACAGAAGTGCCAAGTCTCACTGTTAATGCCATTTTTTTTCCGTGCTGCTTTTGTAGATGAGGGACTGTGGGATATGTTTGTGAAGGATATTCCTCGCAGTGCTACCTCCTACACAGTCAGCCTGGACAAGCTGAAACAGGGGGTGACCTACGAATTTCGAGTGGTGGCTGTTAATGAATTCGGCTATGGAGAGCCAAGTGTCCCTTCTGTGGCAGTATCAGGTAATTGTCTATTTTGTCATATCTTTTGCAATGGGTTTTCTGTTGAAGGAGGAAGAAAACAAAAAACAAAAGCAAAAAAAAAAATAGATTCTCTAGTTAAAATAAATGCATCAAGGCTCTTCTTGCTCTTTCTGCCTACTGCTTTCCTAGTCAGCTCTATTCCTTATTCTGCTTCCTTCTTTTTCTAAGGTTCTGTGCTAAATAAACAATTTTCTTTGTTTATTTTGAATGCCAGTTGTTTTGTGCTGGCATTGCACTAGAGCGTGATGTCCATAGGCCCCAAAGAGCTAGTCGACTTTACCTGCATTGATGCCCATAGGCCCCAAAGAGTAGTTGGCTTTGCTTGCATGTCCATCCACTCTCCCTGCTCCATAGTGGTTATTCCCAGTAAACAGGGCTATTGCCCTATGCTTCCAGCATCTCTTTGAACAAACTGGTGTCCTGACTTTCAGGAGGAACCTCAGTACCTTCAAGAGCAAGCTTAGCTCTGCTTTGCAATATTTCGGCAGCTGGAGTTTCATGGCCTCTTGTGAAGTAGGAAAGTTTGTCCTTGTGAAAGTTTTGCTTTTTTTGGCCTTGGTGAGACAATTCTACTCCGAGTTACTTTTGAGCAATAGGTTTCATCTTTGCAGTGTCAGCAAAGGCAGACAAGAAGAATAAAAGAACTGCTAAAACGCCTTTGTTGCCTCAAAATTCTGGAGAGTCCTGAGAACCTGGCAATGCTCCAGGATCTGGAGTGGCTTTTATCTCTCTGCTCCTAGAGTGAGAGGCATAAACACCATTCAACAGTTACCCAGCAGGCAGGAGCAGTAAACGCTGCTATCACCATCCCGGCTGCATTTGTCCTTACACAATTAGCCACTTAGCCTGTGAGAGCTGGCTATGGATTTCAGAGCGAGCGGGCAAGCCTTACATTGCTTTTCTCCTTCAGGACAAGGGCATCGACAAGCCACTCCAAACACCAAGAGAGTCAGCGTGTCTCCTGCCTGGGGTTTCACAGGGTCTATAACCCAAAGTAAAGGGTCATTCTATAGCAGAAATCACGTCAGCCTCTCTCTTTCTGGAAGGCATCGTTCACCCAAAGCTGAGCATGCAGCTCCTTGTGTTGCTTTTTGTAAATAAAATGCTTGTTTGTAAGTTCTCCACTTGAACAGGACTATTTAATTCATCTCTGTTTGATGCTTCAGTGTTCATCTCAAATTGCTACATGAAAGTAAGAGGTTTCCATTGAGATTCGCAGCCGTAAAAAGTAGAAAGCATTTTATGCTGGCCATTTCAGTTAGCGCAGGAAGGTACAAATTGCACTGAATCTGCTCAGCCCAGCATGGCTTGCACAGTTTGCCTTTAGGGCTTTATTGGTCTGGGCTGGCCCCCTAGCAAAGAAAGATTGTGGCTACTTTGCGCTGCTGCTGAATATCAAGTGATCTGGAACAAATCTGAGCCCATATCGTCAGGCTCGTAACAGGCTTTTGCCCAGATCCAGGGTTCTGGACGGCCAGGGGAAAGAGAAATGCCGGATAGTGAGGATTTCAGCTGCAGTTGCTCTTCTGGCATCGCCCATTCCCATCAGGTGTTTCTCTGCCTTACTGCCTGCAGTGAGGTTGTGCACAGTCGTCAATTTGTGCTCTCCTGGCAGCATTTCTTCTCAAAGCTGAAGGATGCTGACAAAGAGAATGCCACAGCAAAAAAATAACAGTGCTCACTGCTTTAAACTGACTCTGGTGAGATAACTCTAGAAAGGGAAAGCTGGTATCGTTTTGAGTCTCTTCCAGCTGGGGAAATAGAGGTCAAATGGGGTGAAATGACTTGAGATTGCACAAAATCCAGGCAGATCTGGGAAGAGAATTGATGACCATGTGCTGCACATCAGGCTTGGCTGAGCTGATGGAGCAACAGTGTAGAAGAGCAGGGGGGAAATTGTAAGGTGGAGACAAACTGTGGAGGTACTGAAATCTTCTGACCCAAGCATACTTTGTTCCCTGACACCAGCTCCATCTTTTACAAGAGCCACTGGCAGGGCCTAGGCCCCTTAAAATGTGGAGAGTAGTTGTGGGTCATGAGAGATATATTAATAATTCTTTGTATGCAGGGAAAATTGAACTTACTGGAGCATTCAGGAAATGTGGGGATGCAGAGCTGTTTTCTTTTGGGGATGAATTCAGCACTAAGGGGCTCTGGAGCACTGCTCTGAGTGTGCAAAAACTGCTTGTGGAGATGATGGAGCCCTGATACACACCTACCTGGCTCACTGTGCCATCAAAGAAGGTGTCAGCATGCTGTCTGAAAGTGCTGGTGGCCTAGGGGACCATCTGACCTCTTCCGAACATCTGCCTGCCCCACATGTTGTTATGGATGCACCGTTCACTTTGGGAAGAAGGGGATATTCTTAAAGAGCATAAAGACGAATTCCTGCTTTGTTGGTTTTGTTCTTGTTCTTTCAGCACAGACAGAAGCCCCTTTTTATGAGGAGTGGTGGTTTCTCCTGGTGATAGCCCTCTCTAGTCTGATCCTCATCTTGTTAGTGGTGTTTGCATTGGTCCTGCATGGGCAGAGCAAGAGGTACAAGAACTGCGGCACAGGTAAGACCTTGACTGCACGCTCTGCACACACTCTGAGGAGCTGCAGGAATTAGAAATGTCTTGCATTTGAAGCACTGATGATACCCTCTGTGCTGGCATTCAAGCTCTATAACTCTGAATGCCAAAATATTCCTCTTTCAAAACAATTTCCTCATTCTGAATCCCTGAATATTGCTTTTATCTTGTCTTCCCTTTACAGAATGAAGTTCTGGAAGGGTTGTTTATGTGTATATGTGTCTGATAACCTTCTTCACTCCAGCAAAAATAGCTCTGATGCTGGGAGAGAGACACTTTAATGAGCAGGGCAAGTTAATGGGTCCTTGCTTTTACCCCCTTTTAGGGATTAATATCGTGAAGAAGTCTTCCAGGCAGAATTTAGTAATTCACTCTCAAAGAGGAGATCTTTTCTTTCTTTGTAATTCCCCCTTAACAAGTGTTAGTAAATCAGATTTTAGTTCATGGGATATAAGATGTATGAATACCATGGTATTTTACTAAGCTAATACAGTTGCATATTTGTATGCATAGCACACAGGAAATCTCTCATCTTCTTAGTTTTTCTCTGTTTTGTGGGAAAAGACATGAAAAGACAGGTCTGACCTGTACTGTCAGATACCAGTGTTCACACTGAGTCTTAATGTAGCATTGAAATTGAAGCTGAGAATAAAGTGCTTGTCTGCTGCAAAGTGGCAATATGCAACCAGTCTTTCTCCCCAAGACACTAGCTGAGCTCACACCTTTGGGATTATGAAGAATGAGCAAGTGAAGGAAGTAAGCTCTTGTTATATTTGATCAAAAGAGAAAAAAACGCTTTGCTGTGTTTTACCTCTTCTGGCAGTCTCGAGTCCCTTTTCCTTTCCTGTGTCATCCTGTAATTTTTTACATCTATATGTTATCCTCCTGACACCTCTGCCATCTTTCTCCCCTATTCTACCCGCTGAACCTTCCTCTTGCTTTCTTTTCTAACTTTTTCATTTTCTTCCTTTTCTGCCTTTCCTACTTTTACTTTTCCTTCCTTTGCCCCCGTCGGCACAAATGGGTTTCATCCCATCCAGACCATTCAGATGGTCATCTTTAATGACCATCTGAACTAGTCACCTGCATTCTATTTATAGTCAAAAGACAGAAATAAGCATCTCTGGAGCACAGTTCATCCATGTTGTTTTTGATGCTCACCTCAGAAGGAAACGTGTGTGACCCTGACTCTCTTTTGGCTCCTTCTGTCCATTCACACTCTTGATAAGCTCTTTTCACCCACTCTGACTGGACTTGTTTACCAAAAAGAAAGATAAAGAGATTTTCAAAAAAATGAAAGTTGTTACTAAACAAAATGAAGGAAAAGTTAGAAACCCATTTCTAATGGTTCTTAGAGTTGCATTTGAGGACAAAGAGACTTTTTTTTTTTTTTGAGCTGAACCACTCAATGACTGTCTCCAGGTAAAACCATCTCCAACATGGAAGAGTCAGTCACCCTGGATAACGGAGGCTTCACTGCCCTGGAACTCAATAGCAGGCACCTAAACATCAAGAGCACCTTCTCAAAGAAAAATGGAACGAGGTAAGAAACTGGGAACACCAGTGCTTTTGGAAATGGCTTTTTACCTGGCTTCAGGTCATTGAAAAGAAAAAGGGGAGAGGCTGTTGTCTGGAGGATCTAGGGAGGACTGTACACCAGGGCCTGAGTTGCTGCCTTCTGGCTTCTAAACACAATGTTTGTGGACTGTGCTCATTTCAGCAAAATGACAGCATCCCATATTGTCACCCTTTGCATTTCCCAGGTCTCCTCCTCGGCCAAGCCCTGGGGGGCTGCACTATTCCGATGAGGATATCTGCAACAAGTACAACGGAGCCGTGCTGAGCGAGGGCTTAGGCCTCAGTGAGAAGCCCTTGGAAGTATCGGAGTCAGAGGTGAGTGTTCTCCTGTGCTTTGGACAATGACGAGGCCTTGTTCAGTCACTGAAAGCACTTGTTCCCCACTTGAAGGCAGGAAAGTCTCTGAAATCCCACTCCCAAACTTGCTCTTTATTCCTTTTCATTGTTTGTCTGTCTTGAGTACATTAAAATATCTGTGTCTCCTGGCTATTCCCATCCTATGCTCTGTCCTAAAATCAAACCACCACAAGAAAGAATGACAAGCAAAGCCCAGCCAGACTAGGCCTGTCCTCAGTGGATATTTTAGTTTTTCCAATGCTATGTAAAAAGGAGAGCACAGCCAGGAAGTGTCTGCCCACCCCTCTGGCGTGTAGCTGCATGTCCCGTTGATCCCGTGAGCTGCTGAATTAGGGTTGATCCTTGGATGCCTGTGGGCTGAAAACTGGAACACTTGGGGAACAAGGTGTATGTGCTGAGAAATAACCATCAGTTACTGCCTCGACAGAGATTGAGGGGAGATACACATTGGATTGTTGCACTGGGCAAAGTGTGGTTTGAAGCTTTCCTGGTGCGTAAGCAGTTACAGCAAATATCAAGATCCAGAAGAATGGTCTTTACTGCTGCCACTCTTATAGGAGCAGCCCACAAGGATGACATAGTAGTTGCTGTGAGACACCCAAAATCATTTGGGTTTCCTACCCCAGTCCACAGAGCTAGTGTAACACAAGAGAAGCCATCTGCTCACTTTGCCTTTAGGCTCTCCAAAGAAGGTTGGTGTTTATCAGCTCTATACATCTAGCAGAGCTCTGCCTTGTGTCTCTTCTTTAAGAAGAAATGAAGTGCTCATGGTCTGTAGGAGCTCGGCAGTGGCCGTGGGTTAAAAGCCAGACTTTGAGGACTGTACATAAAGGTAAACCTGTCTCTAATACCGCCTGTTACCAACCGGGATGCTGATGAATCTGAGCTGACAGCACAAGAAGCGAGCAGTGGGCCAAACTACTCCGAACCTGACCCTTCCAGCAAGAATAAATCAAGAGCAGCAAGTAGTGAGAGAGGATGACAGTTTTCATCTGTAGCTTCTCTGCACCTGCAGCTACAGCTGCTCTGCCCAGCTCCCCAGCTCTCACCTCCTGTTAATTACCGCGGACAGCCCGCCGCGACGCGCTGCCCTATGGCCGACCCGTCACGCAGGCAGCCTCCCGTGCTGTAGCTCAAGCTGCTGCCTGTGCCGTGGGTGAGCATTACCTCCAGATTAAACCCGGAGTGCTTCAGTCGTGTCGCTGCAACAACCCAGCATTAAACCTGTCATTAAAACAGTGTGCTGACCATGATCGTGAATTTAGCTCTGGCACCTTTTGACATTAATTTCAATGCCCCGTGTGGTTTTTCCTGGTAATGCACTCGCAGGGTGTCATTACTGTCTCCTATATGCACTGTTTGTACAACACAGAGGAGGGTGATTTTCATTTTTTTTTCCCGGGCTATTATTAATATTACTTATTTACTGTGTATTGCAGTAGAGCCTGAAGGTCTCAATCAAAACTCTAGTGTTTTTGTGAATCTGTCTGTGCGTGCATGCGAATGTGTGAACAAAATGTGCCTCCTGTTTTTCCTTTGGGCTTAGATATGTAGTCCTTCTGTATAATGTCTTTGATGCTTGCTTTTTTGGTGGGGAGTGCTTTTAGGCATGAAATGTTAATAGGCTCCCAGTAGAGGTAGCGGTAGGAGATGTTGCCTTTTGATCAGCCTGGAAATGCTGCTTATGTCAGTGGTGCAGACAGGAGGTGAGGGCGGAAAGGGGCAGAGGTGGCTGTAGGAGTTTGACCACTCTCGTTTCAAGGACCTATTAGTGTGCCTCTTCTGTTCTTCTGCTTTCTCTTCTCAAAACATATCTTAAGGGACATGCTTACTTTTCCAAGGATTTCAGAATCCCCATCTCCTTTAGGAGACAGAGATGTTTTCCATGCTATGAAGAATTTAAGGCATCTTAGCATCTTGTTTCTTTAAGAGCTTTATACAGCATTGGGGCCTCTGCAGCAAGGGGGTCCTGGTGTTCCTCCTGATACCTCATTGCGTGCATCTGAAATTCCACTTACTATAATGCACATTAGGGCAGGCAAGGCCAAAGATGTTGCTTTTGCTTTCAGCCCAACACATCATCTTATTGCTTCTTAGCAGTATTCCTGTAGCCTGACGTGTTGAGATTTTATATGGAGAAGATGGAAGTTCACTGCCTGCAAGTCTCGTGGGGTTGCTGAACGTGGAGCAGACTGCAAGAAACTCCCAGACTCACTGACTGCACTTAAAACAGCGCTGCCGGCGAGCTGCCTCCAAGCTCCCCACATTAAAGAAACAAGGGGAAAATCTAGCAAACCAAACACTGCTCTAGCCTTCATAAATCAAGTTGTTAACTTAGCCCGTGTCATGAGAACCAAGCACCAGTCCCGTTAATGAGGTTAAAGTACTTTAATTGGCAGGTATGGAGCAAGAGAGTGCTAAGAGTGTAATTTCCAAATGATTAATAATAATAATAGGCTTTCAGATAATGAGTCAAGTGGACTAGACTCTGGATGGATGATCTGAAGAAATTCAGAATTTGCCTTGCACAGAAATGTGATGATATATCTACTGTGTCACCCAACAGGGAAGAGCCGTTTTGCCAACATGAGGGTTACACATCTGCTTGCACGTGTCTTTATGGTCTCCCCAAACTGCTTGCAGAAGATCAGAGTGCCACAGGTTGCACACACCATGGGGTTGGTGCTGAATGCTGCCGTTGCTCGGCTCTTCTCAGCTGTCTTCTGCAGTTTAGCTGACTTTGGCTTTCTCAGCTCTGTACAAACATATTATAAATTTCTACTTAGCACTTATTGTGGAGTAATACTTATTTCCAATGAAGTTCTCAGCGATTTTGACAAGTTGGGCACTGTGTGGAAACCAACTGCAGACACATTCAATGAGCAAGGGCTTCTCTGCCCAGAGAAATGTGTTTGCCTGGTCTCCCTTACAGTGTATTGCCTGTGTGACAACCAAGAAGAGTTGCTGCCATCTACATTTTTATAAGCAATCTCATAAGGTTGCTTCTTGTGCCGTCACTTTTTCTGAAAAACTGATAATTGGAACTATTTTCCAATTTCTTACAATATTGGCCTTTTGACTAAACCAGCCGACTCAGGTTGCCAATTTGTCTCTTAACAGCCTTTGTGCATTCTGTTTTATCAATAAAATACTTAGGCTGTCATTTTCTGTATTTGTTGTTTCACAGGCATCCGTGCACCTTTGCTTGACAGCTTTTAATGTCACAGTACATCCAATCCCACTCCAGCCTATGGAAGTTTCCTAGGTAACAAAGCCAGAGTCGCACTAAAGGGCGACGCAGAGCGGAGAAAACCAAAAACAAAGCAAAAACCCCTGCAGCATTTCTATTTATTCAGTAGTTCAAAGCCATTAAAAATAATATATCAAGCCTAAAAAAAAAATCCTCTAGTATGTCTGTATTATCTTGCAAAGCAGGTTGTGGAATGTATTTTATTGCTTCTTGATTTTCATCAAAGAGGGACTTGGGATGGTAAATTGGAGAGTTCCTTGCTGGTCAGGGCTGTTACAGTGTCTGGTTGGGACCAGAACTGCAGAAGACACTTGCAAAACACACGTGGACAGAATAGTCAAAATAGTGACCATTTTGAAGGAAATACTAAGAAAACATCTTGTATTACCACTTGTATTACCAAGGTAAATTATCCTTTTCAGCATTTTTGCTGGCAATGGTAAAAAGCCACAGTTAGATGAGGCTTGTGCAGTTATATAGGTTTCATGGAAATTCCTTCCGAATTTACACCAGGTTGGCATTGTCTCCCAGTCGGGATAATGCAGTAATCAGCAGCCCAGCTGTCAGCAGGTGACATTGTTTGAAATAGTCATTCTGGCCATGGCAGATCTAAGTGACACTGTATTACAAGTGGCAGCAGCCCGTCTCTAAGGGTTCCCAGTGTTTCTTCTCTTTATTTGTTGGCTTCTGGCAATCTAGAAGGGACTTGGCTTAGGTACAGAAATGTTGTGAGTTTTGTGGGTATTTTTCACCTAGCAATGGATGGAAATCAAGTAGCAGCACCAGTATTATTATGCCTATCAAGTAACGTGAAAGTCTTTGGGAAACTGCTGTTTCGTACCAGGGTCAGAGAATGGCCGTTGGTGATGGAAGGAGATGATTGTGTGTGTGTGTGTGTGTGTACTAATTTATATCAGACAAAGTCAGCCAGGTTACCTCAGGCCTGTAATTTATACGTTCAAAGTGAAGAATATGATTGGTGCCTGACAAAAACATTCAGACAAGCTGTTTCAGTAGAAGGAATGGTAGGGAAGAGAAGCTGAGAATGGTAAGTTCTTCCATGAATATAGCTCGAGCTGAAAGAAGACGAGTGTCCCCAGCCTCACTAGCCAAGGGCAGTACAGCACAAGGGTTCCTTAGCTGCTCAGCTTAGGTGGGAATGGATGAGGACAGTCTCCCATGGCTTAATTCTTTCTCTGAGCTTTTCTTCCTAGAAATTCTGGCCGTTTAGTTGTCTTTTTGTTTCAACATGTCTGTGCAGCCATTGAGAAGACCAGTGAGGAGCCAGCAGAAACAATTTTCTTTTTTTCCTGTGCTTACGACACCTCAGCGTGGTGCATGTGGTCCAGCTCGTCAGCTGGTGGCTCTTTCCTTTGGGCTCAGGAGCGTGTCCAAGGTTGTCAGACTGATGGCAAGGGCATGGCCCAACTCCCCAGGTGCTTGTTATTTTAAGATGAACTATGGAGCTGCAGTGACATTTGGAGCTGCAGGCTGCTGCAAAATGCTCGCTGGCTGATAGGGGGAGAGGAAACTTGGATCTGGAGATCCATGTTTCCTGTCTGTAGGAAGAATTGGCTCTGGAAGGAGGACACCAGCCTGTTCGAGCTGCTGTCTCCCTTATTATACTGCCCCATCTGCAGTCACCAGTCACTTCTGCTCTATCCTCTTACAAAACGGCTAGGACAGCGATGGCAGGATATTCCTTGTAGAGATTCCAGAACTCTGGACCTGTTCTCTGCACCGCTGCCTATGAAACAGTGTAAATCCGAGGATATTCCAGGTATGCTACAAAAACACACCTCTTCAGGAGGATTCATGGAGGGAGATCAGTGATGACTTCTCAGGATTGGCAGTGAGTGCAAAGGAGTGTTTCCTGGCTGAGAGATCTGCTGAGATCCAGCTGGAATGATTATTAAATGCCAGTAGGGTTTTGTTGTAATATTAATTAGGTGTCAAAACACCTGGAGCTTTGCATTCTTGAAATAATAAATAAATAATAAAATAATACATAATTCTGATGGAGCCAAAGCATGGTTAGCAACGGAAAGGCAACTTTGCAGAACTGTAAAGCGCTGCTTTGCTCAGACTTTCAGATGGCTCTGGGAAAAATGTCTCAGCCCTGTCCATCACTGTCTGTGCTGGCAAACGGGCACAGAAGAGTATCGGAGCAGGTATCTAAGCAAAGGAGTAGGATGATGGATGCGGTGCCCTTTTCAAGGGATGGTTCACAAGGCATTTGAGGATTATTCTTTAGAGAGCATCGGAAAGGAGCTTTGGAGGAGGAGAGACCCGTTGTGTGGCAGCAGGATCAAGGAGGAGGTGTGTGTGTGGTGTGGTGTCATGAATCAGGGTGATGCCAACTTGTGAAGCTAATTGCAGCAACTGACAGCTAGAGGCTTCAGTTACCCAGCTCTCTATTTTAGGACTGGCTATGCAGATTATCATGAGGGGGGAAAAAGGAGGAAAAAGGGGGAAAAAAAAAGCTTTTGCGTGCTGAAACTGGAGATGCGGAGAGGAAACATGAGATAAGGAAAGTATTCAGTAAATGTTTGTGCGCTGAATAACGCTGTGGCTGTTACAGGTGGGAACAGGAGGTGGGTTTGGATGCCCCTGGCCGAGGTTTTGCTGTGGTCTCTGCATTCAGAAGAGATCTACCAGCCTCCTGCAACGCCGCCAGCTGTAGCACAACAGCAGGGCTTGAGCGGGGACAGATGCACAAGGTGTATTGGACTGCATGTTAGCAGAGCTCCTCAGCTCCATCTATTGATATAAGCTTTTTACTGCCCAGCCACCACACATAAACGTTTTAAGGGGTAATAGCCTTTCTGAATACAAGACAGGGCCTGAGCCGTCTCAGGAAAGCAACTTCTCCATTCTGGAAATGCCTCCTTTGTTCTCTTTTTGTCTTTTGCTGCTGGTTGTGTGTGTTGTTATACCACAAATAATCAGATGGGATAAACAAAATAGAGTTTGGGAGATGAAATAAATGTAGTTAAATGTAGTTAAATTTCTTTTCAGTGATGTAAAAAAATTCAATTTTTGATGGGGCTCAGAAGTCAAACTTCTGTGCAGGTGCCCTGATCTGACCGTCATAATCACCAGTAGATCTGGCTAACTTCTGCACATTTGCATGGAAGATTTTTTTCTCTTTTTTTCTCTTCTTTGCCTCAGAAGAACAGAGACTCTCAATAATTTTCTTTGATCAACATTTATCAACATTTCACCTGTTTGAAATTACAATTACAAGCTTTCTGGTGGTGTGATTGAAAGCTGCTAATTTCCCCATGATGTCTCTATACTCCCCTGCCTCTTCTGCTCGAACCAGGAGTTTTTAACTCTTGCAGCAGTGCTCTGCAGTGAATCAGCACAGGTTTCCTGCATCCCATATTGCTGGAGTTCAAGGGCTTTTCCCAGCAGATCCGTGCTAAAGCAGAGCCCAGCAGTTTTCTACAGTCGGGCGCAGTTGCAATCGGATTGCAGACCATCCTACTCCAAAATCGCAGCTTCTGCCAACTGCTGGTGTAATCTCTCATTTCTTGCGGAGCGCAGCTGGCTGCATCACAGATGTTAATGGTTGTTTTCTTCTCCCCCTCCGATGCTCCAGGCCACTGACTCGGATTACGAAGACGAGCTGCCCAAACACTCCTTCGTGAACCACTACATGAGCGACCCCACGTACTACAACTCGTGGAAGCGCCAGCAGAAAGGGGTGAAGCACCCAGCGTCCTACCGGTACGAGGAGTGCGCGGCGAGCGAGGCGGAACCCTATTTCCAGACTGTCATCACGACACAGAGCTCAGGAGGGGTGTACACCCCGACGGGACAGCCCGCGCCCGGCTCCCGGACTCCAGTGACAGGGTTCTCATCCTTCGTGTGACGCCGGCGCGGCGGCACCGGAGCGCGGAGGGACCCGTCGCAGTGACTGTGTGCGTGTGACCCGTGCGGTGAACTGTGTGGGTAACTTCTCTATCAGGGTAGAATGGATGGGAACACCAACGAGGCTATTTTTCTTTTCTTTTTTTTTTTTTTTTTTTTCCGAAGACAATCAACTCGAAAGATGCGGAGCTGAACCTTTGTTTAAAAAAAAAAGAAAAAAAAAAAGTTCTGAAAAGTGACAATTTTAACCACTTGTGAATAGTAGGGGTTTTTTAACCGCTTTTTTGTAACACTGCTTCAGGAAGCAGCTCCCTACCCTTCTCTTCCCTTTTGCTTTCTCTCCCCTCCTCCCAGCCCCTGTTCCCAAATAAGGAGGTAAATTCCCTAGATGCAATGAGTGACTTTGTGATGTGATCTGAAGAGAAAACACGTAAGACCTCCCAGGGTCCTTTTCCTTTCCTTTTTTTTTATTATTATTTTTTTTATTCTCCCTGTCATCAAGGTCAAGTAGGAAAATACAGAGAAAGGGCAAATTTCTCCATGAAAAGCAGGCGCTTCCTCTCTCCTCTTCTCATTGCTCTACCCCCCATTAGGAGCACTGGCTGATTAACGTAGGCTCAGATGTGTCATTGTCTGCTCTAGACTCACTACTGGCGTTTTTGTACTGAATTGCTGACCTGCTTTTCTTCCTTGTTCAAAATGGGGCCTGCTGCATTCTCCAAATTTTACAATTCTAGGGCCTTTAGGAGAGGAGATGGCTCAAAAGAGAGCTCTAAACAGTAGTGGGTGAAGCAAGCGGGAAGAATTCAGATGCAAGGTCAGTTTATTTTTATGGACTCCCTCGTGGACAGCATATGCCATTTAAATTGTATTTTCTTTTTTTTCTTTTTTTAGTTCAAAGGACATAGCGCAGCAGGCCAGAGGCAAGTTTCAATTAAGATTGCAAGCTCAATAGTCCACTAATGGATAATTTTTTTAATCATCAAAGTTCTCCTGCCTTGTCAGTAGAAGTTGAGCATCGTTTCGTGCCCAGACTCTGCAGCACTACTTACTGGTCTGTGAAAAAGGACATGGTAGCTGGATGTGTGTGTGTGATTTTACTTTTGTTAGTATAAAGACACGTCACACAGATTGGCTGAGTTCTGGTGTCCACAGGTGCCTTTTTACTGATTCCACACCTTTGTATCCAAGAAAAGCAGCAGTGTCTCCAAATAAAGCTAACCAGTCTTTTTAAGCATTAGGGTCGTGGATTATCTTGTGCACATTTAGACAGGCTGCTTTGTGCACTTCCAGCTAGAGTCCTTTGGAAGAAGAGAGGGGATTTTTAGTTTGTTTTCCGTCCTTTTGTACGGCTCCCTTTTTGCCTTCCTCTTTCCCCCTGCAGAACTGCAACCAGGTTCATCCTTTTCCTGAGCCTGTTGTGCTTATCAGCAAGTTGCTTTGCTCACATTGAAGCTGTTGGGTGCTTAAGAGTAGTCTGGTGGCACCTCACCTGAGCAGTGAGGTCCCAGGGCGAACTCAGCATTGGTGTCACCTTTCAGTGCCCCTGTGACAAGGCAAACGAACTCAGAGCTGCTTTGGTTCTTTGGCACTGCCTCTGAGCGCTGCTGCTCTCGGTGCATACTGATTCTGGATAGCTTTGGCACTGGATTCATGTTCCTCTCCAAAGGCTCCAGAAAGAAAAAGAAAAAAAAAATCGAAACCAAAAACTCCAGTGTTTGTGTGTTCAAGTGCTTTTGAATATGGGATAATGGTCCACAGCTCATTAGATGGCAAGTGAGTTGCAAAAACGTGGGCTTGTGCCAAAACCCTGTGAACCGTCCCCTTTTCTGCACCTGGATAGGATGTATGTGGGATGGAGAAGGGGCTCCAAAGAGGATGAAATGTGCTTACTGTGAAGAGGAACATAAACAAAAACCACTGCCTTCTGTGCACTTTGACTGTTCTCTTAAGCCATATGGACTTTGCTTTAATTACTGAACTGACAAAAAAATCGTTTGCAGTCTGTCATTTGAGTTTTGTTTTGTTTCTTAGCCAAAATTATCTGTGTGACTTTCTGACTCGTTTCCCTTCTCCCTTGTTGTTTCCTGCATCAGGTTCCCTATTTTAGACACCCTGTTTTCTGTATGTGTGACATAGCAGCGCAGGTGCTGTTGGAGATTTCATGGTGCTTATCCCACAGCTGAGAGAGGTAGCGTTACAGGAAGAGGCTTCCAAGGACCACTGAGGGAGTTAGTGAAGGAGGTTAGGAGGAAGTAGATCAAGAAGAGCTTGCTCCAAAGGTAAGCGTGGCTCCACATCTGCACACATCTGCCTCGGTGTAAGGTGCAGTTGCTCCCTTCCACCTTGAGCCAAGAAGCAAAGAAACCATATAGAATAAAGTGGACTTCATGGTGCTGTCCCGCTGGAGAAGAACATGGGGATCAGCAAGATCTGGCCCAATCTTTCCATTCTCCCTCAGAGCCAACTGCAGCTAAAACACTTGAGCTTAACGAGGGCCTGACGAGTTGGCTCTACAGCCCTTTTCTTCTGGCTGCCTCCAGAGCAAAACCTTGGTTGTGATTCTTTTAGGACCTGTTGATCTGAACACGGGCATTTCTGTCCTATCCCAGTACACACTACGATCCCTCTGGGGTTTTGTTTTTGTTAGACCTTGGCTTTTCTCACATGCAGGTTTATTTTATTAAAGCATTTGCAGAGCATGGAAGTGCCATGCCCGGCTCCTCCCTGAGATAAGAGTAGGATACATGTTCTCCTGCCCACCACTTTGTCCAGCTATGTGCATGATGCCTGTGCCTTGTTGTTAGCATGCTATACTTGTAAATATGATTAATAGGTATGTTTTATTTACCTCACATATCAGGTAAATTGTCCTATCTGGAAGGAAACACCCATCAGTTAGCAGGAAAGCTGTCTTTCGGAGCTGTAATCTTTTGAGAGTCACAGCCTTGAAATGTGACTTTTAAACATTGGCTGTCATGTTAAAATAACTTTCCCCATCAAACTCTCTTCCGTTTCGTCTTACTGTTCAGGACAGTCTTGAAAAATGAAAGCTTATATTTAACACTCCTTCTTAAAATATTTAAATTTTGTTTATTTACTTTCCCTTGTTTCTCGAGTCTCTTGGAAAAAATAAAAATAGCCTCATGAAATGACCAAGAGAGACATTTCAGGGAGCACTTTAATTAGAGCTCATTTTTCTTGCAGAAGCCTTGGAAATACCCAGTTTTGCAGGAAAAGGCTGCTCGCATCTTCCTACCCCTCCCAGGGCTGAGAGGAACCCCCACCAGTGTCAGTGAATCCCGAACCTCAGGTTGGCTCTAATAAATCCTGCTCTGATGCAGAAGTGCACGTGAGTAAATAAGCAGCCCAAGGCCCCTTGCACTGTCCCAGCCCATTTTCAATGGAACGTTATATTCCCCCCAAAGTCCATTTCACACCTTTGCCATTCGGGTGCAAGTGGCAGTCGTGAGAAGGGACAGGAGAGGGCACTCGTTTATTTTATTCAGTGACAAGTTCTTCTCCCAGCCTGGGATTTACCAGTTGGAAAGCCTTCTTGGGGAGGGCAGGGAGAGATCTCATCAGCACTGAGAATTTCAGCAACATTTACTAAAGGAATCACACTGCGGTCAGCAATCCTGCTTCAGGAAGCCCTCGACATTGCAGGAGAAAAGGGAAAACAAAAGTATTTGAAAAGGGAAGCTGCTCCATTACCCTAAAGAACTCTTTTTTCCTTCCTCATTTTGAGTCTTAAAGCCAGTGATGCTTTGCAGATGGGCCATGACCTAATTTTATTTGCTTACACCCAGGTCTCGGCCAGAAGCTGCTGTAGCAGTTGTTTAGAATAAGCATCTGAGTCTGTCCTGATGTGGGAATACATTTATTATTCTTGTCATTTCTTCCCTCAAGAAATCCGTTGGGTCATCTAAAGATTATCCAATTTGTTCTCCAGAAAAGGAGGAGAAATCACTGTTTATGCATAGATAGCTCTGTTCTCTTCTTCTACTTGCTGTTTTCAGACAGAGTTTTGTTTCAGACAACCCGTTTCTTAATGAATTTGAAACCCTTAATTAATGACAGGAATTTGTCAAGGAACTTCAAAAGAGAATAAAGCAAGAACAAAACGCTTCGGGTGGGTCAGTAGAAATCAGCATTCCCAGCAACTTGAGACCTGTAGGAAGAATATGATCCCGAAACCTCCTCTTTTTAGGTAACTCCTTTATCAATAATAGCCAAAAGGGTACTTGCTGTGACAGATTGCACCTGGAGAGGAAAAGCCATCACGGGGCAGTTGCTAGACAGGCACTTTGCATTGTAAACAGTCTCGTTCAAACCTGAATTCTTGAGAGTTCAATCACATTTCCTAGGTCGTTTTTATAGATTTTTGCCACAGCGCATGGAGCCCATGTGGCCCCGAGGAGTTACTCATGTGGGGAGAGCTCGCCGTTCCGCTCCCCACACCGCGTGCATGGGGATGTGCTTGTACAGCACCCCCAAAACCTCCCCTCTGCAGAGAGCCACACTTAAATTAGGAGCACAGTAAGACTGAAAATGCTGGGCATGGAGCTTTAAACAGCTTGACTGCTCCAGTCTCTGGAAGTTCTTTGTATTTCTCTGTTCCTTTTCTCACCCACGTCTCTACCCTGCCAACCCGACACCTGAGGTTGGCTTGCACCTTGTGAAGTTGTGAAGTTTGCCACCCCCGGTAGCAGAGAGCCAGCACTGAGGAGCACTCGCACGGCACGTGGACAGGTGAGGCACGAGGGCTGAAACAGCCCCATGAGCTGCGGCTCGGGCTCTCACACACAGCTTTTATCTGCTTTTCATCTTCTCGAGGCTGACACATGCGCATTTTAAACGGCTGCGGAGCCACGAGATTTGGCAGCAAATGTGGTTTGGCAGCAAATGCGTGACTTCACTTGGAGGCTGTTTGATCACAAGGTGCTTCCTTCGGGGTTAAATCCTTGGAAGCAGAAAGCACACTGGGGTTTCCCAGGTATATCTGCTTCTCCAGAACCACACCTGGAGTTTTGCAAGCAGGAAAGCACGTGATGAGTTTGCAGCTGGTCACCCTGCCATTCTTTGGATGGAGCCCCTCATCTTCCTCAGTATCCACTGTTGGTTTAGG